TTTTTTTTGGAAAACAACCTTTGATTAAAAAGAAACAATTTAAATACATATTTGATCATTAAAACCATCACAGTAGCATTGATAAGCTCTTTGAATTAGTTTGTTTAATTCATTTTCACAGAATCAAGTGAATGGATGAACCACAGGCAAAAGCAAATGCTCATTCTGCATCAAGTCAAGAATTAAAGAAGTGCTTCCTGGTCGAAGTCATGTTCTCCCATGTATTTTTTTTTGTAAAAAGACAATAATATATTAAGTACCTTTAATAGAGCAAAAACCATTGAGAAATTAGTAAGATGTGAAACGTTGAGTGGTGGAATTACTTGAGGCTGCTATTGCAAATCAGGATGAAGCCTTGTCACTACATGAGGGATAAGGATCTGGTAGCAATTCAGGCCATGGAAAGAAACATGAATCAATTGAAAGTACTGTAGTCTTATCAGATTGGAACTGTATACTGTTTGTATGAATGTTGTTATCTATTTGATATGACATCATACCATACACTGTGAAATATTACCAGATATTATTAATATCTGGTAATATCTGGTATTTTAATGTCTTCATGAAAAGAATATAACAAAATTATTATATTAATAGTACAGTATGCTTTATCTACATAGGAATCCTTAGACACAACATAACAAAAAATATATTAATTAATAGGTATCAAAACTGACTTGAATCAATTGAAAGTACTGTAGTCTTATCAGATTGGAACTGTATACTATTTGTATGAATGTTGTTATCTATTTGATGACATCGTACCATACACTGTGTTGAGAAATATTACCAGATATTATTAAGGTTTTTCCTTGTATGAACATTTATCAACAACACATTTATTTTCTTTATAAAAAATTGCATTGACTTTTTGAATTGCATTGTATTGTATTTTACAATGCAATATGAAAAGAAGAAAATATTAACAGAACAGTACTTGCTGATAAATGATAATGAATACAGCAAAACTTTCATTATTTCTAGTTTCTTTTAAATTGTTTATGCTGGTTGGCTACATTGATAATATTATATAATTGTAATATTTAACACATATGTTTATAAGTGGATTGGATTGAACTCGATATTCAGCTATGTTTAAAGCAGTTCTGTGTAGGTATATGATGTGCTACAGTGTTTCAATAATATTCATATAAAAGTTCAGATTTTTGTCATAAACTTCTCTCAACCTTGTGTTTACTGTTGTGTAGTTAAATGTATATACCCAGTGAGTGATTAGAGAGATAATGAAAGTGCTGATGGGATGCAACTGGCTAAACTGAGGTATATTAAATATGTATTTGTTTCACCTTATTGGAATCATCAATTGCTTTACTTTTATTCATTAATTCAGTCCATATTATCAAGGTCTTCAAGCAGTTAAACAAAAATCAACAGGCATGGCAAGAAATGCTGATTAATGTTAATTATTTACATTGCATGCAAATAAAAACATTTGAAATTTTACATCAGCCTCAATGTGTTCTTATTTTTTGAAGTAATTCAGCCTCAGTTTTCTTTTAAAGTGTACATTTTTTTAATTATAGAAGCGATTCCAAATAGAATCAAAATATATTATATATTTACGGGAATTCAAAGTCGATGAACATTACTTCTTGCCATTCCTACTATGCATATGTAGGCCTAGATAAGTAATACAATACACATATATCAGTACAGCACGGTCGACTTTGGCTTAAAAGACTATGGTATGACAGTCGACAGAAGACGGGAAATGCAATTTACTACATCTAAAATCTTACAACTATTACCAATGTATTTTATTTAAAGGCTGGTATACTTCTATCATATTGAAATATTCCACTAAAACCGGAGAACTTTCGTCCAAATTGCTACACATTGTCACTTTCCTCGCGACATTGTTTACATTAGTTACCGAGTTTACAAGAACGTTTGTGATTGGCTAATAGCGTCTCATCAATGATTAACAGGTATGGTAAGTGTGCTGTGTTTACTGCTTTCGTGAACGACATTATTTTTTTGAAGATAAATTCTCATTTTTGGTTACAGTTTCCCCAAATTTACGATTGCCGACAATTATATTATGTTTCAATAAAATAGTATTGACATTTTTGTACGAATGCCAAGTAGCGCGGATCGGTGGGTCACAAAATTCGTAAACTAAGACGATTTTGGAGCCTCAACCCACGGTCTATAAGGTCCTAATTCTTTGAGACACCAGATTTTTTTCAGAAGTTACTATTTGTAATGCAACTATATCCACGGAAGAATGCCATGTTCACTGGCGCTACGACAATGATATACTCAAGTGCACATTAACTACTAAGGTATTAACAACATTAAGAAATTAATTTTTTTTTTTTTAATTATGTGTTTCAAAAAACTTAGTATGAGATGAAGAACAGATAAGATTTTAACTTTTTATTAAAGATACTGACAGAAAAAAATAAAAAAGAAAATCCACTATAACAGACTCATGGTTTACTATGAGCATTTAATCTGTGTCTAATTTGTGTCATGTCTACTTGTGATGTTATTGGATGTCAAAAAATATAAATATTAAAAATGCAATATCTGCTTTTCAGGTACCAGATGTGAGGTTCCCACCACGAAATGGGACATATCGTTAAATTCTTATTGAAGGTTCTATTTCAATGTTTTAGGATTTGTTTACTTTTGAGTTTATTTTCTTAATGTTTCTTTCTGCTACAGTATTAGTATTAACTCAATTTTTGATTTTCCAACCATGTCTAATTTTGTGGCGAGACCTTAATTATTGTATAAACTGACCTTTGATTTTGGATTGTCGTATATCTGCTGTAGTGTGTAGCCTATGGACTGACTGCTGTCATTCATCGATACATCTGACAATTGCCATTCTTTAATATTCTCATCCATATAGACATGCCCCACACCATCCCTAATCAGCTCATTGTTATTGTCGCTGTCTTTGGAAAGCTTGAGTGCAATAAACCTAATAAGGAAAACAAGTGTTCACTTTAAAATGTATTCACTCTGGAAAAAAAACAACCATAACACAACAGCCAATGACTAATGGCTGAATTTGTTCACATCACAAATAAAATACAATCAAATTTCAATATTTTTGCGAATTATATACATTCTGGTTTTATTCAAACAACAACATAAACATTTGACATAGCAGCATTTCACTAAATTGCATCAATTGCACAGAAAATCTGTGATAAAGGATAAAATCTAAAAAACAAGAGAAAATTTAGCAACAACAATTACAAAGATAATTTACAAACTACAATCAATAAAAAGGGACAATCATTACTGTAAACATTAAGAACTAAAAAATATTGAGATAAAGATTTGTTTTAAAAATCCTATATTATTATTTTTACAATTTTACAGGTATTACAATTATTAAAAGAACTGAAATTAATTGATATTCCTAATTATTAATTAGCTAAATTATTATTAGATTTAATTAAAACTTGGAAATTAAATTAACAGTTCAATAGTTTATAATTAAAAAATATTGAACACTCAATTAGTCAAATAAATACAGTTATTATTAATTAATTAATTAAATGTAAAAGTTTTAATATCTAAAATAAGTTCAACGACATGGCTAGCATCACCCCAATTTAGTGCAAGAACCAATATATCATATAATAAATCATGTGTTTTCATTAACTGTTTGAAAGATATACAATTACATATCTGTGAATAATTTCATCTGGATCCATATATAATTATTTTTTTGTATTGGATGAACAAAAAAAAAAGTCTATGATAATTATATACAATGCTGTATAATATAGGTACTGTAAAATATAATGTATACAATGTATTTGGCCTCCCCAATTTCCCTCACCAGAAAAAAAAAAAAAAACAACAAAAAACATGTAACTATGTGGTTTCTACTTTATGTAGTTTTTAAGTGTAATATGTAATTTTATAATCAATTGAATGTTTTTGCAGTTTGTATAGCAATGTATAAAGTATACTGGCTTATTTGGGGGGTTTTCCAGATTTTAAGGCTGAATGTAGTCAGGCTATATTTAACCTATATCACGGTACAAGTAATATATCTATTGAGATACAATGAAGCATTTGTGTTACACAGAAAGTGTAAGATTATATAACTGTAGTCTACTTCCTCATACAGTAAAAGCCCAGTGGATCATAATTATCATTGCAATAGTTTTTAAGACTGAAAGTCAGGCTATATTTAACCTATATCACGGTACAAGTAATATATCTATTGAGATAAAATGAAGCATTTGTGTTACACAGAAAGTGAGAGATTATATAACTGTAGTCTACTTCCTCATACAGTAAAAGCCCAATGGATCATAATTATCATTGCAATAGTTTTTTAAGACTGAAAGTCAGGCTATATTTAACCTATATCACGGTACAAGTAATATATCTATTGAGATAAAATGAAGCATTTGTGTTACACAGAAAGTGAAAGATTATATCTGTAGTCTACTTCCTCATACAGTAAAAGCCCAGTGGATCATAATTATCATTGCAATAGTTTTATTAAATACCTGTACTGTAGTATCTACACCAGTGGTGGCGCCATTATTCGCCTGACTTGGGGCAGGGGCCGCCTGCTAAAGATATACGACTGATAGGGTCTGACAATTTCACAGGGACATGTTGGGGTCTAGTAACATAAACCTAGGGTAATTTGGAGGAATGTTAACCTTCCGAGAGGTTTTGTGTTACATTATGCCTAAATTAAATCAAATACTTCCTCTTTTGTTTAGTCCAACAAGTTTTGACGGGGTAATAGGGTGGGGCAGTGGCGGCTCTAGGATGTATTTCTAGGGGGTGGGGGCTAAGTTGTCCGACAGGGGGACTTGAAATCATAAGCCAAAGCAAGGGGTTGAGAGAGGGTTCCCCCTCCCAAATGAGATTTTTTTTAAGAATAGCAACCTCTGGATGGCTGGAAACGGGACTCTCAGACTGTGACAGACGTGTTGGCTTGGTATGGGCCTATTTATGTATTTTCTATGGTTTGACTGCCCAACGAGCTCTGTCCGACGGGGGCTTGACCTGTCCGGTGGGGAACTTAAGCACCTTTGTCCCCCCACTGGCGCCGCCACTGGGTGGGGGTGGCAGGCCTGCTAAACAGGGGAGTAAAGTGTCTCTATATAGCTTACTAATACTGCATGCAAAATAAATAATTTAAAAAACAAAACCAATGTGTTATTTAATTGCTAAACACCAATCAGAACTACTGTATACTGAACTCCCTGGTCAGTGGACACAGCAAAGTAGGCATACAAAGTACAAACATTGAAACAATGAAAGTATTGCAAATTAAAAGCATGCTTGAATGAATACACAGGACCTTGGATCAGTGAAATAGAGTGTGAACAAAATAAACATCAAGATATATTATGCGGTTGTTGAATTTTCTCAAACCTTACCATCTAATTAATTCATTCAAGCAGGGAGTCGTTATACAGTAGTGTGGTTACAATAGTCTCTGGTGAGCATCCAGAGTTTATTATTGTTATAATTACAGTATTTTGATGGCTAGTCTGTATTGTCGTGACGTCATCATAGTCGTCTTTCTTCAAAGAAAGTCTGTACTTACCAATCAACTGGATGACCACTGCGATCTAGGCAACTTAACGCTTCTGTACAGCAACTGATAGATAACAACATAAATACAACGAGTACGTTTACATACATTAAGTTCATGATGACAACGTGGTGCCCATGGAGCTGTACTCAGCCTACTGAAGTGAAAATGCTTAATTCTGTCACGGGATGTGATTCTGCGAAACTTAAAGCAACTCTGGAGTTTACAGGGGTACTTTGTTTTCCTTTCATTTGATTGGTCGACGAGAGAGAGAATTTGGCGATACTATTTTTATTGTAATTAATCGTAATAAAAATGTTGTGACTGATGATGATTTTATTAATTATATTAAAAATTGTATCTGAATAAATATATTATAATATCGATAAATAGAAGAATGTAGTACCGTATTTCTGGTAAAAATATAATAATATTAGCCCTCCCAGTACAAAAGGATTTCTCCCTGTTCCAGAAATGTTACCGTCGAAATTTATGACGAAATTTACTAGGGGGGCGCTACTTTTAATCTCAGAAAACGGGAATTCCCCTAAATATAAGCAGCGCTTCCGGCGGTGGGGCTGGAACTGCGAACTCCGTTCCGTTCTTTTTTATGAAATATTTTGAATCGGTAAAGAAAAGCTTGAATTGTATAGCTAGTTATGTCTATCTGTTATGGTGACCAAAGACACGACGGGAAGCATATGTACATGAGGCGTGAACGTGGCGACGTGTGGTTGTAAATCTGTTGTGTTGGCCTAGTTAGGCCTTCAAAGTATAGGCAACGAGAGGCACCCATCCTGCTGCTATACCGGGGCCTACTTGCAAAGATAGCCTATATTTTACCATTTTGATTGTGCTGGGAAGGATTGAATATGGCGTATTTGACTTTGGTGACATTTAACGGTATATTTACGATCCTGAATCAATTGTGTTTCGTGTGCCTTCAACTAATTTCCTGTTTTATTTGGCTGATGAAGCTTATTATCGAAGTCAACGCCGTGTTGATTGGAAGCATTTTCGCCTTCTTCATAAATCTTGTGATATACATTTCGCAAGCAGTCGTTTACATACCAGCTTGCCTACTGCTGCTAAGAAATGTATTTTACGAGATTGTAGGACTACTCTCATACTGTTCGTTTATTCCCGAGAAGATTGGTTTACTGATTTATAGTGTTGTTTACACCCTCGTTGAACTTGTCTACAACATATGCATAGTTACCACCTCGCAGCTGATGATATTGTTCACCTTGATTTTAAACTTGATAATTATATCTATCCAATATGGTTTTTCAATGTTGCATATGTGCCTGTTAAATTTTCATCTTAATGAAAATTTGTATTCAATCATGCAAGTTGTTATTGCTATATTTATAGTTCTTTTCTTGCATTATTTTAAATGTGTGAATATAGCTGTATCGTTAGCTAGTAGGTATTTACAAAGGGTTACAGATAACATTCAAAGAAGGAGAAGGCCAAGGGCCAGGCCCAATGTAAATAACGTAAGAAATTTGGAGATTGAGTTTCAAGAAAGTATCATAGCATCTAAAAAGACGCATCTCAGCACAACAAATACAGATTCTAAAGAAGCAATCCAGTTGCAGCATTGTGTTATTTGCTTAGATGAACCAAGAAGTGTTTTGTTGCTACCCTGCCGGCATTTGTGTCTTTGCCTAAATTGTGTAGAACAAGTGTTACAAATGGAAGTGGTGGATCAGGGAGCATGTCCGCTTTGTCGACAGTTGATAGATAGTTATCTTGAAGTTTTCATATAAGTCTAAATTGGCTTATTATTATTATTATTATTATTATTATATTATTGTTGAAATACACCAAATATAAACTGTCGTTAGTTACTGTATTGTGTAACGTTGTATGTAGCCGATATTTAATTAAAGGAAAAGAAAAAAGTATTCAATGCTTAGCATGTGTAAAAGATGATAAACACACTATTATTATTATTATTACTACTATAATCATTTATTATCACATGGTGCATAGAAATCATTATGCAAAATTATAATTTTTTGTTAGCAGTCTTCTGCAATATCCATTTGATTTTAACATTTTTTTTAATAATGTGCATTATAAAAATATAAATTAAATATTTAAATTAATTGTTTTATTATTTCATCAGCAGAAATAAAACATAAATCATAAGTGCATGCTGTAGTTATCTTTAATGTAGCCTACATGTTACCTCACAATTGCTTTTAATGAATATTCTTCCAATTTTGACATGAAGCTATAATTCACAATAAAACAATAGAAGAACAATTTAGACACCCGCATCATGAGGGGACCACACTCACATGGTGGGGCGTGTTGATTCAAACCATCTACAGTAATCAGAAAATTTCGGTAGCCCTCCTACCACTAACAGAAAATTCTGCATCCGCCCCTGGGTTTCAGGGTATTTTTTAGTGTATTTACTAAATTTCAGTTACGAGCATTGTAGTACAGTATTGTATAAATGGGAAACAGCTGCAGCTTATTGTGGATCGAGTTGTAATGTATTGTAATGCATTTCTTTTGCAATATCGACCAGTGGCGTGGTGGTATGTAGGCCTAGACATTACAATCACTGAGTCACATTAATTGCACACAATACACGTAAATGTTATTTGATAGTTATTAGACCCAACAAAACTTGATTTTGACGAGACTAATATTTTCAAATTCTTAAATAAAAGTTTAAATTTACGCCAACTTATGGTATAATTTCACAGGCAGAAATCCCTTCCCCCTCCCTGTGCGACACAGACATTGTAGGGGCTGTTTATTCCCTCTAACGCGCCCCAGAAACCAAATTGAGAATTATACAATTAACGTTCTCATACATACACATATAAGAGAAAAAGGAGTATTGTTAGAATCTGTTTTGCTCTTCTCTTCATCTTTCTGTCATCGGCATTTAATTTTGTATCCTTTTAGTCCGGTGGCTTATGTCATCCCGTGGGAATTTCGTGATCATTTTTTTTTTAATTATATACTTTGAAGTATGCTGAATCGAATAAAATGAGTCGCCAATTTTTTTACGCTCATCTTCATATGCAAATTAACTGAAATATGCAAATTAGGTCTGAAAATGTAGGGTACTTATATCTTGGTAACCACATGTCGTAGAAAGTTGCTTCTTTCTTCAGGTTGTTCAGAACATACATGTTTCTATTTAGCCTAATGGAACATTTTCTTCAAAAATTACCGGAAGTGCCATTTTGCCGACCTTATTAGCATAAATATGCAAATTAGGGGTGGAAATATAGGGAGCTATATCTTGAAAACCGCTGGTCGTACAGAGTTGCTTTTTGCAGCAAAATGTTTAAAACATGCATATTTATATTTACTATAATGGACAATTTTCTCTAGAAATGACCGGAAATTGTGTTTTTGACCTTTGACCTCAACTTTGCGTGATTGTAATAGCTTGGCAACCAAGCTGTTGTGGTTGAAAATTATTTACAAACAAACTGACTTTTCTACCGAAACGATCGGTATCCCCGGTCGAGAAGAAAAACGGGGGGCGGGGCGGGGAAGAAAAAGTTATGTATTTTTATGATATATTAGCCGAAACGATCTGTATCCCCGGTCGAGAAGAAAAACAATTCATCGGGGGAGGGGGGGGGGGAGAAAAAGTTATGTATTTTTATGATATATTAGAAGAAACTAAAATCGATTAAAATAAGCCTTTGAAATTTTCGTAATTTCCGGGTTTTCAACCCAGAAACTTTCAGCGACATCCCGGCCACGCCCACTTACGCTCTCGCTGCCCACCCCGTCGGAGACATCGTACCCCCATCAGCCAAATCCTGCCGCTACCGGTCCCGTTCAGAAATAAAATGAATTCACTTAGTTTTGTATTGATGCTCTGACTTCGTCATGAACGGAAGGAAACTGTTTGAAATAGCATATACCGTATACCACCAGTTGGCATTACTGCAAATTGCCTAGTAACAGTGAATTAGAGTGAGAAACGTTCCCACACAAGTAGGTTCCCACGATCAGGAGAAGCAGACACAAGGTCAGTCACATACAATAGTCTTATTCTTTAAACGCCGCCAACTCAGATATGTAGACGCGGTAGTGTCTGATCTGATTCTTTGAACGCCGCCTTCAGGAATGTAAACGCGCTACTGCTCTCCCCCCCCCCCCCCCAAGGAGGGAATAGCCGACTGCCTTGTTGAGCGATACCAATATGTGCCATGGTTTCAGTAGTTCAGCTGTATTTTAGCGAAGTGTTGCTTTTTTGTACTTTCACTTCTTACATGTCATTTTAATTTAGTCATTGATCATCATAATAAAATCATTTCTGTTGTGTGTTTTAACAGTTGTTAAACCTTTTTTCTTTCAAAGACGTGCACACTCATTCTGTATAAATGAGTATATTGTGGGCCTATCTGCAAGACTTTTAATTAAAAATCAACGTAACCATGGGAATGTGTACTTCTACTGTTATTTTCTCAATGAATAGGGCGTTTACAGTTAAAAGCCCTTGATTTTTTAGCAAAGTATTTTGTGTTTAATTATGTTTCTAAGGTTGAAAAAGTCTTTGTAAAAAATGGCGCAGTTTAGATGCCGGTCGGAAATTTGAGAGACGGACAGGGATGACCTGCGAGGTGAGAAACCCTGTGATAATTATGAACATTTTATTAACATTTTAACAGAATATTATGTTACAAAAAGATGATAGAGAGGTTGCCCGTCGGGACGCACCCTATTTATTTTTAGTTGCCCGACGCAGATATTTGGTTGCCCTGGGACGTCGGGCAGGCGATTCTGCGAGCCCTGATTAATTTGTTAGCCTTGACAATTGTTCGTGAATCAGTACAGTCTTTAGACATACGGTACCTCTTTAAATGCTCCATAAATGATTAAATTTATAATGCACGGTAGTTAGATTTTCTTAGGTGACAGCTACCGGAGCTAGCCCAGCATACTGGCACCAAGATACGGTACCTCTGTGTATACGGTAGAGATGGCAACGCCATTTCATCATCTGGAGTATATTTATATCAGATATATATATATATGTGTGTGTGTGTGTGTGTTTGTGTGTGTGCGTGTATATATAAAAGCGAGAGGTCGCAGGTTCGAGTCCCGCCAGAGGCAGTTTATTACACAATTTCTTTATTCGTTATTTACAGGACTACATTCGTTGAGAGCCTTGGTACACGATGTATTATTATGTCCTTTATTCGAACAACGTATTTACCTTTCTTTAATGATTTATATATATATATATATATATATATATATATATGTATATATATATATATGTATATATATATATACATATATATAGGCCTATATATGTATATTCAAGTAATAATACAATTGTTGTAATAATACTTTCGACCATAAATCATCAATAGGTATATATATACATATAAAATTGGCCTATATACTGCAACGATAGGTCAAAGGTCAATAAAAAGTTTCTGGTTGATATTGAGAAATTATTCTGTTAGAGTATAAATGTGCATATTGTAAATATTTTGTTACAAAAAGCAACTCTGTACGATCAGTGGTTGCCAAGATATTAAATTCACGCAAAGTTGAGGTCAAAGGTCAAAAACGCAATTTCCGGTCATTTGTAGAGAAAATTGTCTATTATAGTAAATATAAATATGCATGTTTTAAACATTTTGCTGCAAAAAGTAGTTTTCTAGATACAGTTCCCTATATTTCCACCCCTAATTTGCATATTTATGCTAATAAGGTCGGCAAAATGGCACTTCCGGTCATTTTTGAAGAAAATGTTTCATTAGGATAAATAGAAACATGCATGTTCTGAACAACTTTAAGAAAGAATCAACTTTCTACGACAAGTGATTATCAAGATATAATTACCCTACATTTTCAGACCTAATTTGCATATGAAGATGTGCGTAAAAAAATTGGCGACTCATTTTATTGGATTCAGCATACTTCAAAGTATATATTCCATAAAAACTAAAATGATCACAAAAATCCCACGGGAGCCCATTTTTTTCGACATATGCCCCCGGACCATTTTGGCAGATCCAGGAATTCAAAATAGAGGGGAGTGGGGGGCTCTCAGCCCCACTTATTAGTAAATACTGTAAGTTAAAAGCTATAGATGTTAACCCCAAATTAGATCTCTGGTAGTATAAAATGCAATACTGTAGTAAGACTTTCAGTAAACTTATGTGCAATACAGGTGCTCTTCAAGGATGTGCTCTTTCATCACTCGTTTTTAGCATAGGCGATCAAGTGATTCTCTGTTGTTGATAATCATTCCAAATGCTTTCATATGTGAAATATGCAGACGATAGGCCTACATGTCCGTAGTTGAAGGCTGAAGCTAGGTTCAAATGATCGGCCCCTAAAACGTATGTTAGTTCAGTTTAACGTTATTTTTTTTTATAAAAGCTGATAAACAGTGGCATCACTGTATGCGTACCGTACTTATATTTTGATATTTGCATCAGATTTATTGAAAATGTTAAATCTATTCATTTGGTGTGTAGATAGGCCTACGATGGGAGAATTTTCTATTTATTTTTCGATAAAAGCTGATAAACAATGACATCACTGAATGCGTACTGTACCTGTATTTTTTGATACAGTATTTGCATCAGATTTATTGAAAATATTAATTTTAATAGGACTATTGAAACTATTCATTTGGTGTGTAGATACGATGTGTGAATTTTCTATTTATCAAAGCAATTAATTTGACTGACCTTTACTAACAAAACAGTTAGTAAAGGTCAGTTCCTCTTAATTGGTTTGATATCTCGCATACAAGTTGGAGCCAAGTATTTGGTGTATTATAAATAAAAAATATTCTGATTAATATAGGCTCTTTAACATAAGATATAATATAATTTAATTTCTTTTAAATTCTTGGTCCTACCCTTTTTTCGGCGCCTTGAGACGATTTTATTGTGGAAGGCGCACTACAAATATCCCACCATTACCATTACCATTGTACCAGTACTCGATGCTTTTTAAGATAGGAGTGAATGAGATTAAATCTATGTAAATGATTGTGAGGAGCTGTAGTAGGCCTACAACACAAATTTTAGGGTGGTTACTTATAAAATAATTATTGAAACAAAATTGATTTTTTTTTTTTTTTTTTTTTTTTTTGCAGTTTCAAAGCCTTTACACTATGGCGATAACGTTCAACGATAAAGCAACTTGTTCATATAGAAAATAAAAGAACTTTTCACACCAGCACGGTTCGATAACGATTTACCATGTATAGGGCCTACCATAACAAAATAATTTCACAAATCAAATCAAATTACGTCATAATTATGGAAAAACGATTTTATCGTTTTCTCATGATTATGACCTCGTTGATTTGTGAAATTATTTTGGCTAGGCCTCTTTATTTATCTAAATAATTAAAACTCATATTATAGGATTCTGTGTGGTCTGATAACATTATATTATTTTGTGGTAAATATTTCAAAAACACAATTATGATCGATCCACCTGTCGGTCGTAAAACACTTTTTTATTTACCCGGCTGCGGGCCCGGCTGCCGGAAAAAATTACCTTTGGTGTGACCTGGTGTGCGACGTGGTGTCACTGCTACTGTAGCAGTTGTATTGTAGTAAATGCAGCAAGACTGACGATGATTCGTGATGAGACAACATTGAGTTGTCCATCCAGATTTACAGTGTATCATATAAATAAGTAGGCCTAGTCAAAGTGAGCAAGGAATATTTCGTGTTTTTCAACATTTTATGTGTAGGAAAAGTAGGCTAGGCCTTAACCTAAATTGTATAGTAGCAGGGATGTGTATTCCTCCTACAGAGGTCTCCCTAACCTCCTTCTAAGGCCTAGGGAGGCCTCTGTAGGCCTAGGCTAGGCAAGCTATAATAATTCGGTAGTACAGTGAGTGGTGGGAATGGCTAGACCTGTCTTTAGCTAGTTTAGTACAGTACCACTAGTAGGCCTAGGTAGCTAGTAAGGCCCTCAGTAATGTCAATGACAATGACAATGTCTCTCATCTCATATGACAATGTCTCTCTTTACTATTTAGCCCTACATTTTATTTATTAATAATTTACACCCTATATATTATTATTAGTATCCTCCCTGGGTAAGCAGTACATCCTAGGCCCAGGCCTATCAACAATTTACTTTCCTTCCAATTAACCACTGAATGTACGGTGTAATCATTCACTATAATTACTCCTGCGTCTTGAAATGTCCATGTATTTTCTCTGAAGAGAATTGAAGTCGGATAACAGCATGGCAAGTGATGTTTAACATAATTTTTAGCCTGCATAGGGAATGTATCCTCCGCGCAAAAATTTGGCATAGAAAATTAAGCTGATTTTTGAGATATCCTCCACGCAATTAAAAATCTTTACAGTTGATATTTAGGGTTTCTAGAAAAATTAGGGTGGGTGATACAGTAGTCACTTTAAAAAGTAAACTCTATATAATGAGTGGATTTTAAGGATGGTTAATAAAGATAGGTGGAATTAGCTTTATAGGCTGATGTAATCATAGTGATTATTCTCAGTGGCGGTACCAGGATTTTTCCGACGGGGGTCCACGGTCCCAACGGGGGGAGCTGACAAGAACAAAGTGGGCGTGGTCATTCGTCACTAGAAACCTTTCAAAAGTGGTCTAGGGTGGGAAGACCCTAAAAATATAATAAATTGTGACCCAAGCTCACAAAAGGGCTGTAAACTAGTCCTCAGGCCAAAATGAGTTTTTGTTATAATGGCATAGAACATATCATTTACTTTAAAATGACAGTTAAATTAACTCAATCAGGTGTCGGGAAGCAAAGTTATGACTGTTTGAATAATCGTCAACTTTCTTAAATCAAGGTTTGAGAAAAATGGTTTTATTTGCGGCAGTTTTCTATTCATTTTTCACTAGCCTCCATTCGAAAATGGCTAAATTTTACCTCTTATTTAAACTCAAACTTCAGGAATATTAAGATTAATAGTTACACTTTATTTATTACAGAAAAACCCAATTTACACAAAATTCACGTTCTACGGCCTATTCTGGCTATGGAGGCTTGTTTCTCAATACAGTGCAGTGCGAGTTTACAGCCCTTTTGTGAGCTTGGGTCACAATTTAGAGTTTTCAAAGGCTTATTATAATCGATTTTAGAGTCTATTAATATGTAAAAAATATCTTTTTGGTTTTCCTTCCTGGGAGTTCTGTCTCTGTTAAGTCCACTGGGTGAGTTTATACTGTACTTGCTTTTAATGAGTCTATAGTCATTTTTCATTTTTATAATTTATCAGACTTGCAGTGAGTATGGATTGTTTGCGAAAGAGCCAGAAGGCATCATGGGATATGATGTTACGTCATGTATCGAATGCTGTCCTGTTTTTAGACAACATCAGTGCTGAATGTCTCCATTGGTCTATTGGAGTTAATGCTGTTTTTGATGCAGGAGCAACCAATATTAAAGATTTCACCGCATTTGAGGTATTAAAATATACAGACTTTTAGTAACTAATAAAATGGTCTTCATCAAATCCCATTCAGTGGCACAGTCAGGAGATGTTGGGGGTGGGGGGGGGTTGCTAAAGGTTCCTGAGAATAAAGATACTGTAGCAATAATAGCTGCATGCAAAAAACTTTTTTAATTATACACATAATCCTATAGAACCAATGTTTTCTCTCTGGCTACATCACCCACCATTCTCCTCCATCCCTAATTTTTGTCAATTTTAACCCTCCATCCATATATATACAAAGTTATGAATTCATGTGTTTTATTAATTAAGATAATACAATTTCAGGTCTTCAAATGTTAAATGTTACACAAGTGCCAGTTATGTCATTCTGAACAGCTGCTACACATCAGCAGCATTCTATGAACATTTTACTATATTAATACAGAGATCTTTAATAACAGTGTATTTTTATTTCTCTACTATGCAGTACTGTACTGTAATTTTTGTATTAATAAATACCCTCTTTTTTAGTGTGGTGATGATGGTGATAAGAAGGCTGTGTTTGTATTGAGTAATTTGCTCCTTGATAATGTACAAGAAACGGTATATGACATAGTGAAAGCTAGCAGTTTTCATGAGTGTACTGTCATCAGCAGTACCAAGCCTGCTGTACTCGCTAAGGACGAAACTGCAGATAAAAACATAGCATTTGATCAAATTCAGCAGCGTATTCAGTACTACATGAATAATATGGTAAGCTAATGGAAAATGAGATTTTTCTTTCTTGTAGTTTAATTTGGGATTTTTCTATTAATATAATACCAGGGATCCCAAGTCTCACAAAAGTTGAGGACGGCCTCTCGCAAGCAAGATCTCCCAAAAAAATAACCAATCTCCCCCAAATGCATAATTTTTGGCATGTTTAGAGATTTGTTAAGAAATCTCACTAAACCAGATCTCCCGTAAGTAATTTCTTCCCACTTGGGACCCCTGTACTATAGTAACGGGTACAGTAATTTCTTATTCTTTATTTTTGTGGTTGATTGTGGTATTGTTTTCTCACAGAGGTGATGAATAAGTGAATAATGATATCAGCATAGATGCTAGTGACTGTGTCCAATGCATTTTATAGAGTTATATGTTCACATGACAAATAGAGAGATTATTCATTTTTCTGAAAAATAGGTATACTTTAAATTTTTAATAGCTGATGTTATTTTGTGACCAGTAAATTATAATGATGTATGTTGGTATTTTAGATGTTATTTTTTTGTTTACTATTGATACTGATGTTGATGTCTACAATGGTGTATGTTTATAGTCAATATCTTATGGTTGGTGGGTAAATACCTTATCAGTTATAAGTTTATGTTTGTATTTTATGTCTTTAATACCTTGACCAGAATAGTGTAAAAAATGCCTTATGTCCAAAGTAAGAATCCAAAATTTCAACTTCCAAGTGGTTCTTGAGTTATGGCCATTCACCTCTTTTTGATTCTGAAAATAGCTCCTATAATTTCGTAGGAGCTATATCTCTGGATTAGTGAAGTCTGAAACTTCTGGCTAAGTGAGTCGGAATGACCATATAACTATGTCTATTTTTTCCCCAGATTATTTACATTTTCATTCAGTAAATTTTAAATTTTTTTTTATTTATTATCAAATAGCAAGCTACCTGTGATGTATGCTTTCTACCGTTAATGGAGTTCAGTATCACATCAAACCTGTTTCTGATGCCATCATTGTCAGACTTATTTCCTATGCTGGTAACAGACATTAGAAAGTTCAAAGGTTTATCTCCAAAGGTTGGTATTATTTTAACCTTCAATTCCTATGATAATTTCATCAATCAAACTACAGTAAATGCCAGATTTATTTTCTTATACCAAATTTTCTATATGATTGCAAATTTTAGTGCATTATATTCAACTTTCAATCACAGATTTCAAAACTCAGATTCAGTCAGTTTCTGTACTTTTTAGATGTTATAATATTGATAGCATTGGCTAATGTATGGTCCAGTTTTAGCTAGTGTTTGCAGTGAATAGTCCAGTCAGCCTTGCGTTAAAGCGTATAAAATCAGTTTATTGCTAATGAAAAATTATTTAGATACACTCACGCTCACTCGCAAACACAGTTGAATCAAACCAGACACGTTGGTGACATGATTTTGTTTTAGTGTTTTCCTTCTTGAATGTTTAATTTTTTCAGTAGATGGTAGAGAAGCCAAATTGTTATCAGCAGCATGCTAAATAGGAATGGTAAAATTGTTCATTGCTTAGTATTGTTTTGGAGTGCAAAACTGGAGTTAAGTAGCATTATTTTTTTGTTCTCATTTACTTTAAGGTTTGTGAAGATGATATGATCGATATTGTAAATGATGTCCATTTTGAGATGCTACCACTTGATTTACAGGCCAAATTCAAGGTTAAGTATGAGTATTTCTATTTGTTTTATTATAATTATGCTTTAATTGTTAGTATTATTTAATAAAAAGTGAGATTCATGTTAACTCATTTGCACTCAGTCCGTACTTTACATGCTTCAAACCTAGTCCTTTTGGATTTGATTTATAATGTTTTTTTTGCTTCGCAATGATCCTACTATGTATCTTTAAAAGTATGTCATTTCCTATATAAAACATTTTCTCATGCAGTTGTAGGAAACCTTGTCAATATTTCAGCTTTAACATTATTTATTATAATTAAACATTAATGATAAAAGTGATAATTATTATAGCTTAGCATTATCACTTATTATTAACATTATTTATAATTATAACTATTAATTATTATTGTTAATACTAATTTATTAACATTATGTAAATGGTTCTTTGCTTTATCTTGAGCTATTCAGATTTAATTCTGACAAAAATATTTCAATATGATGTCTCTTCCAATTATAGATGTTAATTGTATCACTTGATAATTTATGTGAGAGGTTGGAAATTAATGAAGACATCTACTGTATTGGTCCAACCAGCCAACTGATAGCCACAGAATTAGCAGCTCTATCATCAGCAAAATTAAGAAGAAGGGTATGTACAGTATACATTAAAATATACACCACTGATCTCTACTATAAAAGTTGGATTGCTCATCGGCCAATCCTGGTACAGAAAAAAGTGAGGCCTCCAACGCCATGTTGGAGGGCCTAAGTGACGTACCAGTTTAGAAAAGTTTCTTTTGGCATTTTCTTAAACTATAGTTAAAAATAACGATTCTTGCACTATTTTTCAATAATAAATTTAAATTTAACGTAGGAATTTTTTTCAAACCATCTAACCACTAGACGCGACTCTTTATTTACTTTGTTTGCGCTTTCTTAAACTGCATAAAAAGTCACATCAAGTAGATAGATGATAATAATCAGTACTTTAAATTCAAATTTATTATTTAAAAGTTTTGCAAGAATTGTTATTTTTAACAATAATTTAAACAAATACCAAAAGAAACTTGTCTAAAATGATACGTCACCTAGGCCTCCCAACATAGCGTCGGTGGCCTCACTAACACCAGCCAATGAGCAATCCAGTGATATACACACAGAAAATCCATAAATTAGTTTAAGATTAAGGTACAGATGTTTTCATGTAGCAAATTGTTTAACAACAGTCCTATATATTTTGTGTATGTTTTCATTGCCATTGGTTGTTTTATAACAAATAGTTTCTTTTTCTGTATAATTTATTTGGTCCTGTCTTATCCTGTCTTTTTTATAAATTTGATTTTGTTCTGAAGGACTCTTCTTGTAAGATAGTAATTTTTAAAAATGTTTTGTATTTTGTGCAAACAATGAAAACGCTTTTATCATTTATATAAAAATTTTTAAAAGAAATGCAGTTCCCTTGCAAAAACACCCATATTCAAAATTAAGAGAACATATCTTTTAGGTGGTAAGTTTTGATTGAGTATGTCTGGGGCATATTTATTGTGTTATTTGGGGAGGAAGTGTTTCTTTTTTGTCTTCACCCAAGAGTAGTCGATAATAACTATTGAGGTGTGGGGAATGATTATGTATGACAGAAAATAGAGCGCAGACCCTTAGATGTTATGTAATTAATATTTGATATTATTATTATTATTATTATTATTATTATTATTATTATTATTATTATTATTATTATTTAACACAAAAAACAACGTTTCTGTGCATTTGTTTAAAAAAGAATCAGTTGATTTTAATTGATACAGTATTGCAATATTAACAGTTATTTCTATTTAAGAATTTGATAAATTTGAGTACAATTTTTTCTGGTATTTCAAACATTCTATATCTCAGTCTGCAGTGAACAGAGCAGCATTAGTTGTTGTTGACAGAACTCTAGACCTTGCTGGTTCTGTCAGCCATTCACACGAAACTTTAGCGGACAAAATATTTGGATTGTTACCAAGACTGCAAGGACATAAAAATGATGTCGCTATTGACATGTCTATGCTGTGTTCTGCTGAAAGGTATGTGTTTGTGTATAAGATTTATAAATGAAGCATTTTAAATAAGATAATTTTGGATGTAAGAACATTTCCTCAAGACATTGCATAATTTGTTAACAATAAATTAGCCTTAAATATTGGATATTTCTTTATACAGTAGTCATCAGTTGTTCTCTAGATAAGATATTTTGGCACATTTAAATCATTTTCTATATTTTTCATTAAAGATGTATTGTCTGATATAAGCTAAAAAATTAAAATATTCAATTCCATGTTTGAATTGAAATTATATATTAACTCAGTATGAATTGATCGTTTATTGCTATGGCAGCACCCTTCTGAGATAATGACTTTCCCAGCCGCGATAACCCTTCATGTACCATGGTCTAGCCTTCCTGATAATTAGAGTGTAATTAGCTATGATAAGAGACCCTGGTTTGATTTCCCGAGTTTTCGTGGATAAGTCGGGTTTTGTGGTAAAGGAGGCTGGAACAGCATGGTATATAAACCTATACTGATGATTCATGTGTATATTGCAATAAATGCACTTTTAGCATTGCCATTCATTTTGGACAACATTTGTTTGTTTAAACCTAACTGGCCTTATATACCTAAGGCTCTTGCTTCTGGTAATGTCCAAAACACCTCAACCTACTTGACCTCTCTGCCTGCAGACGCCTTAATTGGGCCCACTAAGTCGCACTTTATTATTGTGTTATCGTATAACACGATGCATTATCGTTGAAAGGAAACATATACAGTAAATACCTGAAAGTAGAAATTTTAATCCATTTTTGGACAAACACAACAATTGAAAAAGGCATGCAAGTACTCTTTGCATCTTTTGGATTTACCTCGGCTTACTACTGCACCTGTTAGGTCCCCTGACTACAGTATATATTTTAATTGAAAAGTACAATGGTAGATTGCAATAGTGAATAGAAAGAATGCTAGATAATAATTTGACTAAAAAATACATGAAATGATTGTTTTCAAGGAAAGTTTAATGGAGGTGAATCGGCAAATTGTTGATCTTATAACAAAGGAAAAACTACATTCAAAAGCTTCAATGAAAATGGGAAGAGGAGTTGAACTACTGAAGTCGAATCTGAATGTGTTTAGGTACGTACAATTCTCACTGGCATCAAAATAAGCTAATGCAAATGAACCAATACAATTAGTAATTAGTCAAGAGTTTAAGCAGTAAAAGTCTAAAGCTTTGTTTCCATACCATCACTACACGCTATCGCCAACAGCTTTCGGTGATGCTATTGGTCGGTCGAATCGGGGTGTCTTCCCGCTTGCATCGGGGACTGTTATGCTGTACAACGATTGCACTGAAAACACCATGGCGACAGTGTAGCGATTGTATGGAATCTAAGCTTAAGCAGACTATAAGTTATAGTCGGGATTCTCCTGACACAAATCCAGTTATTGTCTATTATTCCATCACGACAATAACAACTACTATCAAAACTGCAGTACCTGCTGCTTACTTGGACTCGAATTCAACCCTGACCATCAGGCGCAAGCTCGGTGGTCTAGAGGTATGATGACAGGCTAGTGATCTGGAGATCGTGGGTTCGAGTCCCACCTGAGAACAACTTGTGATTTTTTTCGCAATTGTTTTCAAATGTACTGAGTATTCAGTACATTTCCACGTCAGGTAGGGCAAAATTACACCTATACAGACTATAAATTATTCAGTGCAACACTATTTTTAAGGTAAGTCAGTAAAGCAAATCAGTATCAGTAAAAGGAAATGCATCAATATGCTAGTTATATCGGTGAAGCAAACGTATCGGTACAGAAAATCAGTTTTACATATTAATACAAATTCTTTGTTAAATCTGTAAACAAAAATGCATCAATATTAGTTAAATTAGTAATAATAAGTAAACAAGTCAGAGCAAATGGTCCAAACCTTAACCCTGTTACTGTCACTGTTGTAATAGCCGTCTTTCAGAGAAGACACATGGCTGTCGGATCCATTGACAGAATCACTGCTGGTGTTCACTGGAGATCCATGCTTTACAAATGTATTCAGTTATCATTTTATGTTAGCAAACCCATTACACACCCAAAAATCAAACCAAACTAACTACAGTATTGGGATATGAGAAATCATTACCTATTTTACATTGTCTACATTTGCATATATTAAAGCGAGTACATTTTAAGACATTTCTATTGTTATAGTGTTGAGAAAACTCCTGAGGTATTTGAAAGGAACTGTGGGTTACTGCAGCTTAGTGTTGGTTGTCTACAAGCCTTACAACATGAGCAATATGAGAAGCATCAATTTCTAGAAAAAATGATAATACAAAGTTCATCAAACTTTGAAGATAGTAGGCCATACACTCATCTGCATGATGCATACAGCAAACAAGATAGGTACGTTGCTGCAACAGTGTGTTGATGATAATGAGCTTTTGATTTGTTTGACGATGCGACGCTAGAGCAGAATCACCCTTGCATCCTACCGGGTGTCCTATATTGTCTGCATACATAAATTTGGCCAAATTGCGTCTTAGAATCCACGCGACGAAGAGAACTTAAAGTTCTTCCAGATGACTTTTAGTGACGTCGTTAGGTTCTAGGTCCTGCCATCGTCGTGTAAACGAAAGCTCCCTAATATATTCTGACATATCCTTTTCACTAAATGCAACATTCACAATGTTCTTAAATAAGTTTTTGTGTTTGCCTGTTAAACAGTCAAAAATAATGGCTGAGTATTATTTAAATGCATTTATGAATGTACTGTGGTAATTTAATATTTTCCAGGCAATTTAATGCAGAAGATCTGCTGCGAAATCTTATTCATCTTTATTCACTACACGGCAACAGTGTCGTATCAAAGGATGAGGAAGAAGAACTGCAACAGTTATTGTTAAACTATATATTAAAAATTCACCAAGCTGATTCTTCACATCCTTATTTTGGTAATTTGGATTTGGATTTTTTTTTTTCATTGTGAAACACCAACCTAATACATTTTGAAAAATGATTACCATATATGACTCTTCTGCTGGTGAATATAGCCAGGAGAAAATCCAATTATTTTTCTCATTGTGTTTTGTTTTATTTCAATGTACCAGGAATATTAAATAATTTAATGTTATATATCTTGGTATCCTTATTCACATCAAATATATACATAAAATAATTCGTTGCTGTTGAGAAACTGAATTGCAAATCTAAGTTGTTAAAATGTTTGAATAGTTAGTAAATTTATGCTATAGTAGTGATAACAAACATTAACAATTTTATTGATAATTTTATAGTGTTTATTTATGCTGTAATAATAATATAAAAATATCAAAAGATCATTTTAATTAATTTAGATAGTTAATTAAATTTAAAATATATTCAGATTTTGATGTACTAACAGTTTGTTTGGTTTTCTTTAAAGTAGGGTGTGAAAATGACTCAAGAGGAGTTGATGATATCTTTAACAAGTTGAATGCAATTGGAATGACAAGGGACCACTTAAAGCAATTCAGGTAATTATCTTTTATTGATTCATCCAATAGAAAAAACAACAAAAAAAAGCTTGTGCCCCAGGTTACTTGTTGACTAGAAATTTGCTTGGCAAAAAGTTGTGGTCAAGTAGTTTCAATTCACCACATTTCACCTCAATTTGCCAACTAAATCTTCATCATTCATCGAGTGCTCCACCTTAACAGCACCCATCTCAATACTCAAAAGCCTGTAGGTCATTGGCTGATGCAATTCTGTGACAGAATTTTTTAAATGACGACCCCTTCACACTCTGACAATCGGTCGTTTAAGGTCTGTTAATTAACATTGTTCTGCCTAGGTCGAACAATTCCATTGTTTTTAAGGTAGATTTCCTGTAAAAAGAAACTGACATATTGGTTCATTCAAATTATTCCAATTATAGACCAACATCACTTACTTTTTGTAATTTTGCATGTAAAAGGAAATATAGTATATTATTTTAATTTTGTTATTAGAAATGTTATTCATGACGGCAATAAAGCTTTTCCATCTACCTATAAACCTTTGTTGCAAGACTTAGCTGAGCAAATTGTAGATCCTTCAAAACCTGACTTGCCAGATTTACAGCACAGATCAACAGGGCTGCGGGATCGAATCAAAACTAGTTTCAGGTTTGACCTCCATATTTTTTTTTAATATAACCAACAGAGAAAATTTCATCAAGTAAACCGATATTCATTTCATTTGTGGAAAGTATTTGCCCAACTGTCAGTTGGGCTTTGTCGGATAGATCAACTGTCATCCACAAATAAGTGAGTATTTGTTTACTTGATGAAATTTTCTCTATTGAACATATATATTGGAAACCAGATGAAACCAGTTAGCGAAATAACCAACATTTGTTTACATCTAGTTAAATATCTATGAGTTCGTAATTAGTTTAATGTCATTGATTAATTAATAGTTCATATGATATAGTAGTAGCAAAGTTATTGATAAACTTATAACCCTTATGGTCATAATATGATATTAACTATAATTATATTATTTTATTTTAATCTATGTACACCTTTATTTTTGAAAGATACTTGTCTCTCTTGGTCTTATTTTTTTTTCATTCTGATTATCCTTATTTGCTCCATATTTTCTTTTCATTTCACTTTTTACCTTTCTTGTTTTTACCAAGGAAATTGCAGTATGTTTCACAAAACCTTAAAGATCACTGTTTATACTGTCTGCCAGCAAAAAATCAGGAAAACCTCAAAAATTATATTTTGAATTTCTCATAAATAAAAGAATAAAAGAAGCTGTTATACTTACAACCAGAAACACACAAGAACAAATTTTTTTACATAGATTATTTAACTATTTGTTAGTTGACAATGAAATTTTCTTTTTCTCATCCAATTCTAAATTAATAACTTAGTTAAATACATAAAAAATATTATAAGAAATGACAAATTTCAGCACTTTAAAAACTAACAATAGCAACTGTTAGCTCTAGCTTTTGTCCACACAGTGGACATTTCTATTATTATGATATAGCAAACTAACACAACTAGACCTTTTCTTCACCCTAACAAATTAAGAAATTCAAATATGAAAGTGTAGTTTCCGGTTTTTAGCTTATAAATTTATACCCAAAAAATATATCAATTAAATATCATATATTATTTTATTAGACTGTTTATGAATGTGAGTAAGCCACGCCCAAGTGACCACCCACTCTTAATCATCTATGTGATTGGAGGAGTAACATGTTCTGAAGTCCGAGCTATCAATGAAGTTTCTGCAAAAACAAGTCAAGAGGTGTGTTTGTTCAATCTCATTAAATGAAGTCACAAACTCATTTATATTGTTTACAGTTAAGCTAAGTATAAGGTCTTTTTTTGATGATCCAAATATCAAATAATTGTAAGAATGGTGTTAACCTGCTTCTAGCAATTAAGGCTTATGCATAAGTGCCAATATGATTGTGGGTAAGTTAACACCATTCTTACACATACTTGATATTTAAAATAAAATAAAAATTTAGAAAAATAAAAAATATTTGGATCATCAAAAAAAGACCCTTACACTTACTTGTTATTGGATTCAATGAATTTATTTAATGTTTAAATAATGGTTAATGGTTAATGAACAATGATGAATATAAGTTGCTGTGCAAATTAACTACAGTAGTTTGAAATATTGATAATTTTGTGTTAATATTGATAGTAATAAGGTTTCTTCTGTTTTTGTTGCAGATTCTTCTTGGAAGTACATGTTTGCTTAAACCAACTGATGTTGTTGATATGGTCTTCAGCAACAATTCCAATAATTTTTAATGCTAAACTGTTCATAATAATATCTATATTATTATATTTTTGCTTAATTTAAATTATTGTTTTTATCGTAATTATACTTCTTATATGAGTACTATTAAAATATTTAATCAAATTATAATTTTTAACTTGCTATTTTAGTCCATTTAATCTGTGACAATATTATAATGAACCCAGAACTAATTGCAACAGAAATTATTTTTTGCCGAATATGTTGCTGAAATATATACATAATAACATACTTAAAAGTCCTGAAAAATTCAATCGGGAACATTGTTAATTTTGAATATATTTAATGAGTTAACATCTAACGGTTTATTATGTCACATCGCACAACTGCTACGTTAAAGCTTATGAAAGCATGTTGTTGCTAACGAAAATTGTTAAAAGTATGATAGACGCCTACATTAGAACGCAGTTGAAACCTGAGATATGTGCAATGTAGTTGTCCAAAAAGAAATTGGTAATCTGAGTAAATAACTAAAAATACCATTTAATGTATTGTACAGCTAAACTGAAATTATGTAGATTCATTGGTATACAAAACAATAGTTTTACATATTCCTATGTGTACCAAGAATTTAGATTAAAGAAGTATTTAATGGTAAGGTGTATACATTATTGTGTTGAAATGCTACCAAACTGAATAAATGAAATACATTATTATTATTATTCTGTGGCCATGCCTTCGTAATTTATACTGCTGCTACATCATGTGTGTGGGTGTGTGTGTTCTTAAAATTTGGATAAGACATGACAGACCCTGTACTCAGGGTGTTTATAGGGGTACTGTCAACTCCTACATAGCCCATAAATTCTAAAGAAGAAAAATCCTCTCCTATACCCCAGTAAGTAGAGTTTTTTCTTTCTCCTTCACATTGAAAATTGCTTTTGTAGAATAATTAAAATATCTTCTATTTTTTTAATGTACAGGAAGTACCCCTTTAGTCTGAACCAATTTAGCTATTTAGTAACGAACCTTGTAATAACCCAATGCACATAACCAATTTTTGTAGGAGCATTTTAGGTGCCTGCCCGAAACTGTGAGAAACTTCATGTTAATCAAATGAAATCAAATATTTTATTTTGGAATCAAGATTGTCCATATTACAGTAAAAAAGAATAGGCCTATATAGAAAAAAGAATAAGAAAAATTTAACTTGGATTCAAAAACCTACGAACACAGATGACGATGGCGGTGATTTATGGTTAAAACACCGTCATCACAATAACTTACTGCATTTGTTCACTCTCTTCAGACGAATCTGAGTTTGTCTTGCACCACCGAATTGACGTAGAGCCTTTAGCTTTGAGCTTTTGTTTCACATCTTCACTAACCCTAGAAAATTAAATTTTCATTTCATTTATTTTGTCTTGATAGATTACATACAAAAAAAAAAGTTTAAAAAAAACGACAAATATACCAAAATGCTGCCCAGACGTGAAAATATTCTTAAAGATAGTAATTTATATAAAAAATGTATAAACAGACCATAACAAAAGGAAAAAAATGTAAAGTTAGCCACTGCCTTCAGGAAAAAAAAATCGAAGTAGCGCATAACACTATAATATACCCCAAAATCTCAGTTTTTTTTTTATTCCTCATTGTAAGAAGTAACTTTTCTGAAAAAAAACTCAAACTATTCGCCGTCAACTTACCAGGCACTGAAGACGAACTCAGTAACTGGAGTCCCATTTACAATCTCTGTTTTCCTGTACAAGATGTAACATTCTTGATTATCTGGCAAAATGTCTTGCATCTTCTCACTATTCTCAAAGTGGAAGCATCATCTCGAATGCAAACATAATTAAATACTCCATTACTCGAAAGTACAAATGCACTGCTTAAAAGAGATTGGTACATTTTGCTACGAAATATATGAATGATAGTATTACTATTTGGCAACATATGGATATGATTCAATATAATGCTTTTCTGTTGTTGATTGATACCCAAGTATATATAGCGCATATTGCCTTACAGCGTGGTGGTGCTGCTGCAAATTTAAATTCAATGAACGAAGTACAGTTCCAAACAAGTAAATTACTGTACTTTTGTCATAAATTGTATCAAAGGCAATCTTGCAAAAGAACACAGTAGTCACTTATACACACGATCCGGTGGTTAAGACCACGTGGAGATTCAAAGTCACTATTATGTATACAATGTCAAGGCATATTGCCTTGAATTCAAGTGGAATATTCAAAAACAAGTCTTGTATCATAAAATGTTGAACACTACCCAATATTATCTGCATTATATCAAATATTTTTATAATTACCAATCAGTAGGCTAAGTATGTTACGTTAGAACGTTAGATTTCGACGAGAGTTTATTACAGAAAAGTGTACATCATTGAGGGGCACCTTCAGCTGACATAGGCTTATATAACAAGGCCTACTGTTCCTAAATCCATTTAATGGCAGTCACTTAGATTGGCTGCACAGTCGAAAATAATTAGACACCTGGCTTGAAACTAGAAGGCCTATACTAAACAAGTTGGTGTACTCTAAATCTCTTGCGCACAACTTATTATAGCATATTGTAAGTTTTTGAGAATTTCTACGGCGTGGGCTTCCTGCTTCCCTAACAAATCAATTTCTGTTTGCCGATCTAGTTTTGAAATCAATTATTAACACAGTGCTCTACTCCAGTAGGCCTACACTAATTTCAGACGCATGAGGCACTGTTTTTAAACAACTGCTTGGTAAAGATGACTTAACGCAGGAAGACTCGGACTACAATTTGTCTAATCAATAAATCAACCAATCAATAAAATATATCAATCAATTACTAATCTAATCAATCCGTCAATCAATTAGATAGTTATTCTCGCATTATTTCAGTAAATTTAAATCAATCTGTATTCATTATATTGTAAATTTATAAAACAACAAATAGTAACGAATGTATTAATTCAATCAATCAATTATTTAATTAATAATGATCCGGATATTTATTTAAAACGAAGTCTTTGAAATAGTCAACATTTAGGCATAAATTTTTAACCAGTCATACATTTTCGGCCGGTATACGAACTCTAGTAGCACTAATACTGCATATAAACAAATCACCAAAATTTACTTAAGAAAATTTTGGTGTTCTAAAGTTAGTAGTTTACTTACATGGTTCAAACAGATTAAAAACTTACACATGCCTGTGTACAATCTCTGATTAAAAAAAAAAACAACGGTCAGATGAGGCACAAAGAAAATGAAGTACCAGAAATATAATACCAGCAAATATTTTTATAATTAGGTAATTATCAGTAGCGCAAATTATGCACCAGATGGCATGACTGATGTCACTAATACACATCCAAATGATAATAATACCGTAAATATTACGTTGAAAAATTTCAATCATCATTATCATCATAATCACCAAAAATCAACATAATAATAATATTAATATAATTAGTATTATTATTAATAATAATGATGATGATAGTGATAAGATGTGCGCTGAACTGTGGACATCTCTAGGTCCCCGGTTCAATTCCCATCGCTGCTCTCCTTGTGTTTCAGCTGGAGGGCTGGTGCGAGTTACGATAGCGCACAGTCTGTCGGATGAGACGGAAGCCGTTGGTCCCATGTGCATTTTTGGCCCATTAAAGAACGCACTCTTCGGAAAAAGGGGGATTGTCTCCCGGAGTACTGCCCAATCACCACCAGAGGGACCCCCATTGGCAGTAAGTTTGCAGACTTCCGTGGGTAATCATTGGTGTTTACACCGAATAAAATATATATCAAAACTGTATCGTAGTAGCTTGTATGTATGCTGCAAGACGGGTGTGAGGGAGCAATACCAACAAATGTTGTTTTGTTGACGGGTTAGAGTGTGGCATAATTATACTGATACAAGAGTAGAGTGGACCAAGTTCCGATCCCTACAACCAGTAGTTTTTTTGTTTTTTGTTTTTTTTTTGTTTTTTTGTTTTTTTTTGTTTTTTTTTTAGCGTTTAGAACAATTCACCATGACAGTGAAAGTGGTAGCAGTAGTTTCAGTATTTGGCACTTGGTTTATCGGTTTCTGGTTCAATGTTCTGGTTCTGGTGGTTAAAGCAGCCCCGTAGCTATACTGGTTGACCAGGGAGTCATTAATATTTTTCGAGGGGCCCACCCACTTCAGTTTCAAATAACACTCTTAGAAAAAAAAAATTTAAGTATCTTAATGTGACAGTATTGCTGATGTTCAATTTTAAATACACAAAAATTGAAGAGAATCGGAAATACCAGGAAAGTCTACAACCGCCTCAGCCACACTATGATTTGAGCTAAGGCGAAACAAATAATCACTGATCTAACAACACTATGCTCAAAAATTGAATTCTCGGACTTACAATACTTATTCAAAATTGTGTTAAAATATGACATTATGTCTGAGTTCAATTTTCAATTAGATCAAATACGTGTTTGTGGCATTGTGCGGCTTTGGGGAGAAATAGAGAGGAGTGAGTAGGCCTACCAGGCGTGTCAACACCACCTCAATCCCACAAAGGCTGGGGTAAGGCAAAACAAAAAAGTAAGGATGGAGAAGTTTTAATGCCGGAAATAGCACTCTCATATTTAAAATATATCATGATAGGCTGAGCTGAGATGAAAAAAAATCAGGGGTGCAGTGGAAACTCTAAATGGCCTGGTAAAGCACTGTTTAGATAAATATTTTTATGTATTAATTTTTCTTTTTAACTTCGTTAAATTTTAAGTAGGTCAAATTGTTTGCGAAATTGGGAATAAATATGGGGGGGGGTGGGGAGAAGTACCAGGTGTCTCAACACGCCCCATAATTCCACTGTAATTAAAATATAATTCTCTGGAGTAAAACATTAGTAGAAAATGTTGGGAATGATGTTTTCATTAGATCTGTTTACAGTCAAGGGGGAGTATTCGAGGACGGGGTGTTTTCGAAAGAGGCTTTATTCCAAATGAGGCTCTAGAATGGGCGTTTATTCAAAGCGGAGCGTTTACACGGGTACAAATAGGGGAATGTAATATGGCTCCTCCCTGATCCACCCATCATGTTTTCAAAAGCACAGTATGCTGTACTTTAGTACGATGGTGACGGCAAATGATTCGGCAAACTGGGTTTCGGCAAACTGGGTCGTCATGATTTCGGTGAACTGGATTCGGCAAACTGGGTTTCGGCAAGAGGCCATTAATTCGGCAATCATGGGTTTCGGCAAACTGGATTTTGACAAACTGGTCGGATACCGTTTCGGCACCAGTGCTGGACCAATTCGAGGGTGGACGCTAATAGGGGGTGAGCGCTGAACTAATAATTTGTAGGTGTAGCCTGGTTGGGCACTACTGTCCTTGGAAATTTCCTTCAGATACCTGGTTGGTTGTGCATCTGTCTTATAATATCCAAATTACGGTTGAAGCAAGCGTGTATGTGAACTACCGGAACTGTGTCGTAAACATGTCGTAGACACGTCGTCGCAAAAATATCTTCTGAATATTGAATTTTGGAATGGTGTTTCTTCTAAGTAAGAAAATATACGTATAAGTAAGTAGGTAGTGTACCATACTGTTACAGCAGGTTTACAAGCCTGTATGCCTTCATAGTGTTAGATTTAATTGCGGTATCCATTGTTGTGTTGTTGTCCAGGCCTACTTTTTTCAGACTGTAGACTATGCTCTTAAATTGTTTTGAGTCATTTTCATACAATGGCATTGTATGAAAATGAACAACAGTAAAAAAAAACAGAGCTAAAGATTTGTTGTGTAATGACATAGTCGTAGGCACATGTTTTTGCAACTTACATTTGTAAATCTAAGTACCCTTTAAAAGTAGGCTAAGTCAAATCATTGTAATTAATTTATTATAGTGTAATATTTTTTATATAGTGACTTAAAAACGATCCCTGGTTCGTAGAATGCGTTTTACGACCATTTAAATACAGTAGGCATATTATAACAATCACTAAATATATAAATTCATGATCTTAAAGCCAATAATGTTCTCAAAATCATTGTCTGTACAGTATATACATTCTATAATTTTTCTATACACTTCATTTTAATTAATTTAATAAAGTGTTATATTATTTAGGCCTATATAGTGACTTAAAAACGATCTAGGCTATTGGTCATAAAACTTTGATGTAAATAGGCCGATAACAATCGCATAAAAATACACATTCATGAAAATAGAATGCAGCATCTAGTGGTCCTAATGTCGTTAATGTTCTCAAAATTTTGGTGTATTTATACAGTTTAATATTAATCCCTGCATTGTGTATTCTATACCGAATAT